TCTTACCCAACATAGCCTGTTCCAAAAGAGTTTGGGCTGGAGCTTAAAAGAAGTGGCTAAAGAAACTCAGTCACCTTTTCAGCCTCTACATTGTGCAGGATAAGCAATTTACAAGATACGTACTCATAATTTAGTCAATTTAGAGTGAGTAGATGTGAGCGATACTTTAATGTGTTTGTAATGTAGAAATTCAATTTAATTTGTTAAATCAGAGACACTCACTCACTAATGAACACTATTGAATGACACTTCCACGGCAACATGCAGACATTGACATTTAGTTTTTTTGCACACATACTGTCATTTCAGAAGTCATTATTTTATACAAACTGCGTAGCGCTCTGGTAACATGGAAAATGTAGAAAGTATTTAAAAGTGATTTTAACAGTATTTAGATTTATTTACTACAAAATCTAACCCTAATCGCTATAGCTTTGAAAGCGATTGCGACTGCAGTTCTCGTTATACAATGAGAGTGCTGGTTTTTAGGGTTCCGTAGCCAAATGGCAAAAAACGGAACCCTTATAGATTCGTCATGTCTGTCTGTCCGTCCGTCCGTATGTCGCAGCCATTTTTTTTTCCGAAACTATAAGAGCTATACTGTTGAAACTTGGTAAGTAGATGTATTCTGTGAACCGCATTAAGATTTTGATGCAAAAATAAAAAAATAAAAAAAATATTGGGGGCTCCCCATACTTAGAACTGAAACTTAAAAATTTTTTTTTCATCAAACACATACGTATGGGGTATCTATGGATAGGTCTTCAAAAATGATAATATCGAGGTTTCTAAAACATTTTTTTTCTAAACCGAATAGTTTGCGTGACAGACGCTTCCAAAGTGGAAAAAAGTGTAGAATATGATGTAGGTACATTACTATAAAAACTACCAACGAAAATTGTTTTGAACGAGATCTAGTAAGTAGTTTTTTTTAATACCTCGTAAATCGTAAACCGCTTATTACCGCGTAATCTTTCATAGGTATAAATAACTTAAATTAAAAAATAATAATTTTAATTTCATAAATCAATGGTACGGAACCCTTTGTGCGTGAATCCGACACGCACTTGGCCGGTTTTTTTGAAATTCAGTTTTTTTTGCGCTAAGGGCCTATGGAGGGTGTCTGCGGATTGATGCAATTGTTATTGTTGTTGTTGTTGTATTGAGGTGAATAACGAGAGATATAAATATAGGAATAATAGTATAAATTAGTTTTACAAAGAGAATGGGATTCTGAGGAAACTTAGATAGTAGGTACCTATATCAAATGTAAATGATTTAAAATAGTCACAAATCAATGGAATTTTCTACTACATATTTAAGGACTAATTCCCCCATATACTTTTCATAACAGTTTTTCTTCACTTGTTCAGAACTTCGGAATTGTTGTTCATTGTCAACAAGCATAGTCTACAAACCCTAATTGAAAAAAAAAATAGTTACCAAAAAATCTTGTAACCTTTTAAAAATGCATAAATTAATCCTCAGTAAATATTTCCTACTGGCAACTGTGTCAGTGTTACCAGTTGATTAACAAGCTAGGCCACGTACACACTGGCACTCGAACTTTATTGCTGCCTGCGTCATATCTATCCTGCTAATAACCCGAGTAAGATGAATGCCAAGCAGGCCAGGGTACTCTGCATTGTGAAGCACCCTTCTGTGGGTGGCGTAAGGTTGGTATTTCAATGGCGAAGGATCTTTTGTTCTTTGGCGCTAAAGCATCCTTCAATATAAAGGCGGTTTCATAGTGACGTTCATTTAGGTACTACCCGGAGGTCGCGGAGTGTATTTTAACTATTTTCTTTAAAAAAAACGTTAAAAATTGTTTATATTTATTGTACAAATTTCCGTAACTTATTTATCAGTCACCTTTAAATTCAATATATTGCATGGGTCAGGTTTTTTTAACAAACCTGATTTTTTAAATACCTAAGTGCTAATGTTATTCGTCACGTGGTTATTAGAATACTCAATCTTTCAGGCCTTTTTCTTGGGCACCTTGGGCATTATTTCATTTGGAAATGGAATAAAAATAGTGCCCAGAATTTCTAACACTTGATTTTTATTAACGAAGCATCGTTTGTAACTTAATGTACTGTCCTAAGCTAGTGAAAAATATCAACACTATCCTTTTCAGGATATATACAGCTAGGTTAAATTTACAAAACTACATAAGCTGTCACAGTGTTTAATAAACCACAGTATCAAAACATGTGCCATGTGAACTTGCCCTAAACAGCATCATTTTTCCGTAGCTAACGCAAGACCACAGCATCATTGTGAGGTGCTCAAAGCAGCGTTGTTCCATCTTCCAGCATCTCAGAGTAAACAAAGCGCCAGGATAATGGAATGAGCGCGAACTGGATAAGAGATTAAAAGACGTGAAACCTGAAAAAATGATAATGTAATGCGTTGAAACGAAAATGAAATGAGATACTGCTGGTGACAGCTAAAGATTTAGGATGTACAAAAGAATGCTCAAAACTACTTTTAGGCTAAGTTGCACCACCTAACTTTGGCCGTAACTATAACTATAACCGGTGTTTTTGTATAGAGTTTAACAGATTTTTGACGTTTGTCAAAGTTAAAGTAAGATGGTGCAACCCAGCCTTAATTTCAGTCATAGAGTCGGTCTTGTGATTGGTCTATTGAAATTCAACCAACGAAAAAAGGATCCTTGACATAGAATTTCGATTTGATTCGATTCGATGAATACCTTAAAAAAAGCCTCTATGGTTAAAGTTGAACTCTCTCGACTCACAGATTCTGGGTTCGATTCCCAGGTCAATTTAGTATTTATTTCCGTTTAGCATTATTAGTAGTTGTAGCAATAAGTTAAAAGAAAATGAAAATGAAAAATGTTTCTTTTTATTGCCAGATCAAGTAGTCTAGTACAAAATAAAAGACAGACCTCCACACGATAAAAGCTTAATACACATTCATTACTTAAGAAATAGTTTTAGGGATTCACATGATGTATATAATTAAAATATTTTCCTGCATCCGGCAACAACCAACAAACTGTCAATTTATATCAAGTCCAAATATAAATAAATCGCCGGAGAACCAATTGTGCTACTTATTTATTTTTGACTGAAGGTTCTTATGAAGAAGAAAAATTGGAAAAGTTTCCCGGAAACATTTCAAATTCGGGTAAACAGAACGTCATCTTTTTTCCCCGGGATATGGATTTATGGCGATATTTTTAATGACAAGTTGACGTCTATGAAATATTTTTATATCAAGATCAGTCTTTATTTTTAGATTTTTTATTCTTATCAGAAAAATACTAGATATTATAAACCCACATGTTTGCCTAGTCACTAATTTGGCTGTTGTAACTAAGTACCTACCTAGTATTTTTCTGTAAATTCTTGACTAAGTTTTCAAACTAAAAAAGTTTACTAAATTTTTACACAAACAGAGAGTTTTTAAATATAGTACTAGTTATGTACATTTCAATTTTAAATAAGCGTATAACACTTGATAATTTTGACAGGTTTCATCTAGTTTCTAAGCAGCCCGGCAAGCGGAAGGTCGTGGGTTCGAGTCCCGCCTTAGGGCAGTTCGATTTTTTCAAGTTGCATTATTTAAAATTTAGTTTGAGAAGCGACTCAATTCGCTAAGAAATTTTTAATAATGTACGATTCAATATTTAACATACTTAACTTTCTCCTTCTATCCCACAGGATTATAACTTATTATTACTTCATCAAAATTTCTCACAAAACCACAATTTCCATGTTTCTTCCCATCGTTCCCCGGATTAATCACGGCCCAAAGAGCGCGGACACTCCAATTTCCTCCTCAGACGGATTTGTGTTTTTTTGGTATTTTTATTTATGCTGAATACTAAATCTGGGAGGGATGAATGGCGAATACAGAGCGATGAGTAATATAGAGACAATCAACACTTAGTTAAGCAAGCTGTATTGCAAACTGCGTTGTCCTTACAATGGAGTANCGTCAGAACTCTCGGGAGATTACATGCAGGATCCTCAAATGCTGTATACAACATCGTATCAGGTGACGAATCATGGATATACGCGTACGAACCCGAAACAAAAAACCAGTCACGAGTTTGGGTGTTCGAAAATGAATTAAAGCCAACAAAAATTGTTCGTTCACGGAGTGTTGCAAAAAAAATGGTGGCCACGTTTGTCTCCAAAACCGGCCATGTTGCGACTATTCCTCTTGGGGGACAAAGAACGGTTAATGCAGATTAGTATGCTAGCATTTGTTTGCCACAGGTCGTTTCTGAACTCCGTAAAGAGAACTGCAACCGCCGCATCATCCTCCATCACGACAATGCGAGTTCTCACACCGCGCACTGAACAAAGGAGTTTTTAGAGCAAGAAAACATAGAATTATTAGTCCATCCGCCGTACAGCCTCGACCTAAGCCCTAATGATTTCTATACTTTCCCTTAAATAAAGAATAAATTGCGTGGTCAGAGATTTTCATCACCTGAAGAAGCTGTGGAAGCCTACAAAACGGCCATTTTGGAGACCCAAACTTCCGAATGCAATGGTTGCTTCAATGATTGGTTTCGTGTATGGAAAAATGTGTCAAATTTCGCGGAGAATACTTTAAAAAGCAATAAATACATTTTTAAATAGTAATGTTGTTTCACTTCCTTGATTCCCGAAATTTTCAGTGCCGCCCTCGTACAATGAGTACTTTTTAAAATGACGTAATCATATTTTGTTTACATATCAAATTTTATTTATTTTACGAAAAAATAGCTACTATAATAGATTTAAAATGTACTTACGCGTGATAAGAAACATTTCTTGTGTGACCGGAATAATTTTTGCAATAAAGTACGGCGCATTTACCCATTTTTCGTGATATTTTTACTCTTCGAGAGCTCGCGTCATACTGACAAAGTGACAACCTGACAACATTTACCATGGCTAATTTAGCCTTGGTAAGTGCTAGCGGGGTAAAGACGAAAATGTCACTCGTTACGCGTCCAGTGGTTTATTCGTCCAAGTCTACATACCTTCAATTGTAGTTTTAGCAACGCCTCCAAACAACATAAGCAGAATTCCTCTCTTGACCTCATTGTTCCCGTGAATACTCGGGAACAAGCTTGTGATCAGATTGTTGTATAAATTTCGATCTCGAGACATCTCATATACCTAAAACAATATTATTATTTGTGTATTTAATAACTAGAAAATTTGTGATTCAGCCTATATTTAACGAACAGACGAAAGCAAGTCAAGCTAAGCACTGAAGCATCTTAATATAGTTGTAATAGAGGCGATTTTGCAATAAAAAGGTCGATTTTATTTGTATAGATCGCACAGCAAGAGTTGAGGCCTATCAACACAAGCAAAGATTTATATCTGACGCTTGTCGCGCTGAAGTTTTGCGTATTCTGACTTCAAATGTCCTGTATTCAAATTTTAAATCAGTGTGAGTATTTGCCTCAATTTTTGTTGCGCGACCTATATCATAATAATCTTACCTTATCCCACTCCTTATCAGTCATTTGTTTTCTCATGTCTTCGGTGGTCAAATCGTCTGTAGCGAGCTCTGCAGTACCAAAACGTCGCGATATAGCTTGAACACTGCATGCGAGGAAGGCTGTCCTGGAAAAAGATACGATATTCAAGTCATTAAAATTATAATTTGGTTAAAATGTGGAAAGCTAGAGGATTCATAGAGGAGCCAGGGCCTTTTAAACAGCGACGAGTCTCTGAACATGTCTGTAAAAGTCATCCGACGTTGCCGCTCGACCATTGTGGTGAGCCCACACGAAATTCTTGCCTAAGCTTAGTACGAGGGGCTAACGGGATTATTAGTAATTTGTGCATACGAATCTTTTACGCACGAATTGATGTATCCGTGCTAAGTCTCACGCTCACGCCCAATGAAGTTACAATATCTATGTATCGTCAGTACGTGGGCATCCACTAAAACTTACGCGGTGTGAAAAAGTCACATGCATGCGCTTGCTCATACTATTTTTTGCTTTCGCCAGTCGCCAAGTTGAGTTTTAGTAGAAGAAATTGAGTCTAAAACATTTACTTGTAATGTAGTTCCCTGACTCCTAAAGCCTTCAGGCCCTTGATGCCTTCTATCAACGTCAACTAGTGAGCTTGTGGCGACATTGATCAACACGCCACTACAGTCATCACACAACAGATGGCGCTGACACCTACCTTGCTACGGCATAGCCATACAAACCTGCATCGCGGTGTCAGAGTTTCTGCAGACTAGCATACATAGAAAACACGAAATGGTTAACAACCGGACCTTTAGGAAGGAAGCATTAACGCCTTAGGTACCTTATTGTGGTATTTTTAATCCCACAAGATTGTGCCAATGTATCTGACTAAAGCCCGGTCTCCGAGCACGTAGAATTGTGTCCAATGACCTCAAGCTAGCCATCCTTATCGCTCGCGCGTAATCATGTTGCTGCCGCGCTCGCACACTCACTGCGGGCGCCCGTCGCACTGTCGCGACAGCAATATAATTACGGGCGAGCGATAAGGACGGGTAGCTTGGAGTTATTGGACGAAAATCTACGTGCTCGGAGACCGGGCTTTAGTCACTAGAGGATACACTTACTTGTAATGTAGTTCCCTGACTCCCAAAGCCTTCAGCCCCTTGATGCCTTCCATCTGGCCCTCGTTGGCGTGCCGCGTCCGCGTGGTTATCTCGGCCTTCGCCCCCGGGAATGAGAGGGAGCCTACGTCCGGGACTACTATAAGTGTCCCCGTGAAGTCGTATCTGTCACCAGCCTGTGGAAATTAATGAAATTAGAATAGAATGTTTAAGCATGAATTTAGTAAGTTCTTAATACATTTTCTTTTTTAATAAATATCCTTGGACATTTTACACTGCGCTTCTAGTCCCAAACTAAGCAAAGCTTGTACTATGGGTACTAGACAACGAATATAAACATACTTAAATACTTTTTTTTGTAAATACATACATATTATACATAGAAAACGCCCATTTGTCTAAAAAACAAGTTTAGTACTAGGTAGGTAATGCTTGCCTAAAATGCGTTTAGAATCAGTAGATTCTTTTTATTACAGCAGTAGTGTACTTTATTATCTAAACTAGACATTTTTCAGATATTGCTCAGAAACTGTAAAATGGTTGAACTTGGAACATTAACTCAATACCTGTGGTGATTGTCTATAGGTTTTTTCGGGTTAAATGACATTCCTTCACATTAATTTCCAGTTTCTGAACACCATGATCAGAGTCTCATCAAGGCAAGACTGGGTAGGCAGGCTTACTGGGCAGATTTGTACCACCCTAGACTGCACTATACTTAACATCAGGTGTGATTGATATCAAATAAATAAAATCCCCTTACTTATATCATACTAGGTATAGTAAGAATGTAAACTCCTAATTATAAGAAACTGACATACTTTAAAAAATTTTGTTTGTAAAATAATTACATAAATCTGTTTACTACATACCTGAACAGATTCCACAGCCTCAGCCCTTAATATTACTTCCAAGGATCGTGGAATGCAGCCCCTCGGTAGTTCAGCTTGTGTCTCCTGGATCCGTATCTTTTGGAAATCCACGAACACTGACTTGTCTGCGTCAAGCATGAACCTTCGCCTGTTTGCACATACTGGATTTCTGCAGATGGTTGGGATTGTGTACTGGAAATACAAAATTAATAATTTATTGTGGACATGGTTTCCAGTTTGGAGTCAAATTAATTTCTAATTGAAAAAGAAAATTGTTTGGTACGAAAATAACAAATAAAAAGGAAAAACTTAAGGATGGCACCAAAGTAGGTAGTCTAGGTAAATTTATGATAAAAGAATAACAAGTTGGAACCATGAAATATATCAAAAAGGAATTAAATAACCACCTTAAATTGCTGCTCCACATTTTTTATGACCGTCTGGCAGTCTAAGCAAACAAATGTGCCCAAAACTAGTTCCGGGTGCACAGGGTGTGTCCTCACAATCTGACCGGATATCCTGATCAACGTGCCAATCTTAGAAGTGGTCAGCTCCCTCACTTTATGTCTCGTTGGCACATCAACGAATGAAACGTAACATTCTTTGTCCTGCAGATCTTTTTTCATACCACTATCGGCCAGACTCAAAACATAATTCAATATGGCCTGATTTAAAAACGGATATATCCTGTAATACTCCTCGATGATCGTGGTAGCGAGATTCTGGTTGTACTTCTCTACATCGTCGAAGCTGACTTCTAAGGTGCTAAGTTCAGGTTTCAGAAGTTCTTTTGACTGTTTTTCATATTTTAGCTCATCGTCTTCTTTGAATCTGTGGAATTAATCACAGTTGCGTCTTGAGAAGGATGCTCATTTTATGAATGAAAACAAATACATTAAAGTCGGATAACCTCACTTTTACAAACTGGCAAAATGTAAACATTTGCATTAAGACCACCTATCAATGACCAGAAAAGTATAATGAGGGGTCTCGTAACATCTTATTATTAAAAATTAAGCAGTAAATACTCACTCTTCTAAGAAATCTTGAAAAAGCTTCTGGCATCTGACTCCAACCTCATCTTTTACTTGACTTTGGGTAGCATAAGTGTCGGCTACATCCATAATTCACAGGTTTTGTGTTTATCTAGGTGTTTAATTAATTATTTATCAAACACAAGATTTAACGCCGAAGATAATCACTATTTTTTCACAGTAAACAAAGAGATTTTGGTTCACATCCATCGACTTGCGCGATCACCGAATGGGCAACATCAAACCACTTAATGAAATCTCACACATAAATCACATCTAAGTGTATACTTTTCTCATTTTATCCTATCAAATTAGAAAGAGAGGTCAATATGTCTGACGAACGATATCACAATGGGTTTTGATGGTACCACTGCTGAAGTAGCTGTTATGACATTTTGGCGGGAATGTTTCGTGTTTTGTTCGTTCAGAAATTAACTGCACTTTTTATTTTGTCGATTTAATGCGTTTTGTTCACAGACGTATAGACGCTGATGTCAAAGTGACAGTGACATTGTGTTGTTTTCTTCCGAATTTCGGGAAACATAACCTCAAAAATACATAAAATAAATATTTTTAAAAATGAACGAGGATAAAGTTACATTTCTAATTAAAGCAGCTTCATCTTTATCACAAACCCAAAATGATCAGACGAAGACATTGCTGAGAAGTTATTATTTGTGAGTTATTTTAGTTGCGAAGCTTGTTGTACTTATTTCATTGAATTAACATAAACATTTTTTTCTATTTATTTTAAGGATGCGGTGTAGAGAGTTGTCGAAAAACCATGGCCTTCCAGATAAGCACTTCTCTTCAAAAGTTCGATGTTCAAGGTGTTTCATAGAATGGAAAAAAGGCACAGAAACAACAGTAAGTATAAAGATGCTCTAAATCAATTTTTATGTATTTAATACATTAAAAACTGCACAGTATCATTTATGGACGGTTTTATAAGTCCATGTATATGTATTTGTAAAGTTAACCAGTATTTTCTTTTTCTAAATTTTAGGTTAAACCTATAAAACTAAGTAAAGGACAGAAGCGGAGAATAAAACAATTAAAAGCAAACAAAAATAACAAGGAGGAGTATGTTAAAACTAGACAACAAATGTTAAACAGTAATGAATTAGTAAGTATCTCTAAAATCCATCTTAAATTCCATAAAACTTACCAATAAAGTTTAGTAATCTAAAACTTTTGTTATTTTTCAGAAACAAATCTGTACTTTTTGTAAAAATAGTACAATCACACCAATTCCAAAACCTGTAAAGCCAAAAGTAATTCCAATAAATGAAGGTGCTAAAATCACAGAAGAAAAATTAAAAGAGAAGATTCAGCCAAATACAAAGACAACCAACACCAATAAACCTAAAAATCAATTGAAGAAAGCTGAAGTAGATGTGTATGCTAAAACAAAAGAGATATTTTCTCTATCAAATAAGAACAACACCTTACAAGGAAGTGTTAAAGAACAGAAAGTTATCAAAAACAATAAGAAGAAGAAAGACAAGTTTGCTGGTTTGTGTCAGCAGGCTGTTCTGATGTCAGCAAAGCTTAAACAGGAGAAAGAAAAACAAAACAAATTGAATTTATTCTTGAAGCCATCATCATGATGAAGATACTAACTGGTTAGGTGTTTTAATACTTTCATATTTATGTACTAAGTATTACTTTATTTAATTTTTAGTAGTTTACCTATCAATATTTTATGTTACACTAGTGTAAATAAAATATGTCTATCAATAGATTATTTATTGTCTTATTTATTCACAATCATAAAAATATTATATTGTCATTTCTTCTTCCTTATCACAATTAAATGTATATCCATAACATTAGTGTTAGTATGTCCAGTGAAAACATGTAGTTCACCATTTCTAAATCTTTTGTAGAAGTTGTAAGAATCACTGTTATTTAGATAATCATTTATATCAATATTAACTTCCTTAGACTCTGATACTAAGTCCAGATATCCCATAGCACCTGCTGCATCTGTAGGCCCATCTATGCCATCTGTTCCTGCACTAAGAAAATCGACTTCAAAATGGCTGAATTTGTCTTTGATTTTGTGGATAATGTTGGAAAATTCCAAAGACAGCTGTTGGTTTCTCCCTCCTTTTCCCTTTCCTTTCACTTCTACAGTTATTTCTCCCCCCAACACTAAACAGACATCCTTATGTTTTAATAAATCCATAACCTTATCATCTTCAATAAAGTTTGTGCTTATTCCTGGAATATTCAGCAAATCCATTGAACTTTTAAATTCTTCTTTATTCAGTGTACCTTCAATAAGCTTGCAGAATAGTTCAGCTAATTTAACATACTCCTGAGCTACAATTTCAATATTACCGATCACTTGGTGTGATAAACATATTGGTAAATATCCAAGTTTCTCAGCTTGATTAGCTGCTTCATGAATGCTTACTTTATTCGAGCCAATGATGTAGTTGTTCACATTATCTTTGGGAAATTCTTTTGGTTCATTAAATTCATTCAGTATAGTTTTAACAGAAAGAGGTAGCTGCTCATAAAGGTTGTACTTTTTAATAATATCTGCAGCTGCATTTGGATCGTCATTATTTTCTGTTGTAGGACCACTAGCTATTAAGTCTAGAGGATCTCCGACTATATCAGAGAGGATCAAAGACACAACTTGAGCTGGTTGAGCTCTCATAGCTAATTGTCCTCCTTTTAGCTCAGATATTCTTTTTCTAACTGTGTTCAGTTCCACTATATCTGCCCCTGCGTTTGCCAGTTTCTTCACTAGTCCACATTTCTCTTCTAAAGTTATTGGCTCTCTTGGTAACGGCAAAAGTGAGGACCCACCGCCTGATATCAAGACTATTAGTAAATCATTTGACGTCAAACTAGAGACTAATTTCTTGACTTTTATAGCAGTAGCTTCAGCATTTTTGTCTGGCAGATTGTTCTTAGCACCTTCACTGTACCGGACATACTTGTTTATGACCGTTTCACTTTTACTTCCATCAGGTATGCTTACAATTCCATGCTTGATTTTTCCACCAAGTATTTTTTCAAGTTCTTTTGCCATATTCTGCACCGCCTTGCCTGTTCCTACTAGGAATACATCTTTATTTTGCAAGTTGTAGCTATCACCTGCTATTATTAACTTTTCAGTAGTAGCATTGTAATTAATTGTGTTTCTAATTAATTTGTCCGGTTGCACTACTGAAACTCCACTACGGAATATTTGCACCAAATCACTAAAGGTCGCCTTTGACATGGTGTAAGAAAAACAAAACTTCTGACTGTGGATAGTTCGCCAAAAGACTGGAAACTGAATACGATAACAAAACATTCTAATTTTACGATGGTATTTCTTAGTAATCAGTTGCGAGAGATCAAATAAGCTATCAACATTATGATAAAAAGTACTTTTGCTAAGTGGTGAGTGATATTAACTATTGTTATCAAAACAAAAATAAACTTTGATAACAAATGTCAATGTCATCGTTGATCAGCTGTTTTTGTTGGTATCCTTCCGTTTGGCCAAATTACTTTTCGCCAAATTTCACTTCGCAAACAACTTATCGCCAAAGTTTCATTTCCCAAATGAACTTTTAGCAACTGTACTTTTCGCAACTAATTCATTTGGTCAAATTATCATTTGGCAAAATTTTATTTGGCAAATGTTTTATTTTGTCAAATATTAAATCCCAAATAATTTGTTTGGTCAAATTGACACTTCGTACATACGTACGTACATACCTACGTACGGACATACGTACCCACCGTTACCCACAAATCAAAGCATAAGGCAGATGATCATGGTTTTCACAAGAATTTTATGTAAAACAAAGAGATTGCAGAAAATAGTATGGTTGCAGAAAGTAGGTATCGCAGAAAATAGTAGGTTAGGTTAGGTTAGAACAGTGACCCTTAACGCGCGAAGGCGAGCGAAGCGTGCCGCGGGCCCGCGGCGCCCGCGGCAGCGGCCGCCGAGCGCTAGAATCACCTCTATTGTTTAATGAATCATTTGGAAATTTCGATAAAAGGAATGAAATATGAAACTTAATTTAGAACAAATTTTATATTATCTACCCACTAAACAAAATAATAACCACAAGCTAATTTGTAGTCCATTCTATGCGACAATCAAATTATTTTGTAAATAATTTGCTAAACAATAATATGCCAAAAACGACATTTGCGAAATAAAAGTTTGCAATAAGTTGTTTTGCCAAATGAGAATTTGCCAAATGAAAATTTGCGAAACGTTGTTTGCGATGTGATAATTTGGGAAACGTTTTTTGGCCAAACATTAGTAATCCGTTTTTGTTACTTATGGTTTATTTATTTTCTAAAAGGTGATTTTAATAATTTGCCTATTTAGTAATACCTACGATAGAAGTAGAAGTTACTGCGTTAAATATTTATATTATACATTCAATATAACCAATTTATGAACAATTTGTGCAAGAAAAATTTGACCGTCAGGTGCCTGTAACGGAATGCAATTAACTGTCATTGATAGTTCTAAAAACGCTATATCCACAGGTTCACTGGATCACTACAGATTATTTGCTCATGATGTCTCTTCGCTCCCACGTAAACACCTGTTCAAGTCGTGGAATACTCACTGGGTTAACTCCAAGAGATACGTAGGCAGATATTATGCTGATATCCAACAGGATATTCCCTCAAGACCCTGGTTTTTCAAGCACCGCCACTTACCAAAAAGAACAGTGTCCATTATCTGTCGCCTGCGTATAGGTCACGCGTGCACCCCTGTACACCTCGCAAAAATGCGGATCAAGGATAGCTCCATATGCGAATGCGGCTTGGATGAAGGAACAGCTAATCACATCTTTTTCAACTGCCCCAAAATTGACCATTCGTTGTATGACTTCCTTCCCAAAAAATTCCCTTTTCCAACTAACCTTAAATGTGTCCTTAACTTTACTAATCCCCATACTTTGAAATCTCTAGTTAAATTCATTAACATTAATAAAATTAATTTGTAACCTTTTGTAACAAGCAAGAGTTGGCAGTAAACTTTTTCCAAACTAAACCTCCCCATTTGTGTTCACTCGTATGTATTATTTTTATGTATTGTGTTGTCTTATTTGTGATGTCTCTTTGTTTTAGGTATTTTGCTTAGCATACCTTTGAATTTAAATTTCTTAAATACCTACATTGTGTAAAAGCTGCGCACGTGATATTGGCGGAACAGTGTGCCTTGTGGCGAAAATACACAAGTTCATCGCCATTAATAAAAGAAGAAGAAGAAGATGCGTCGCGTCGTAAATTTTAATTTTTTTGACTACCTTCACGTTTACAATATTTAGCTACAGAAATATATTAGATTTTAATAGGGAAAATGGGTACTATAATAATAAATCCAACATGCAAATTATTGAATGTAATTCTTTGGTTTTATTATTTTATTCGTGATTTTATTAACCCGTGTCGAACATGATTTGTGGAACGGAACGTGGTGTAGTATTTTGGACAAGTCGTAACAAGTCGCCGCAATATTTGAATTTTAATGAGTTTGGACGCTTGTAAACAATCAAAACAATTGAAATTCTGTGAAAGTTTTCATGTAGTTTTGAAACATCTTCATGGATGTCCCAATTTGTTTCACTCAACACTTTGTGGATAAACAGAATGTGAGATCTTATGGAAATATTATAAAGAAAAGTCTCCTGAAGGAGGAAAATGAAACACAGTTCCTGAGAAATATTTTTGAAGATGAAACTTTGGTGAGTGGATTGCGCCCTAACTTGCTACAACATCTAAGGAATTTAAGAGAAAATGTCCAAAAATATTCAAAGCAGGACTTTAGAAATTACTTTCCAGAAAATGGATTTACTGGAGATAGTAAAGAAAGTAAAGAATTAAACTCTCTGAATAAGAGTGAAATCTTCTCAAAATGCTGGCTTGCCTTGTATGATATTATACCAAAAGAGCTTTATGGAAATGGGCACAATGAAAATGTATTCAAGAAGTTTGTACAAATTATTGTACATGGCATGAAACGCCAACATATTATATTAAGTAAAATACTTTTAAAATGGGATTTTTCACCTTATGTATGGCATCAGCTAGACAGAATAGTGGCTCAGAAAATTTTGTACCATATTCTTTCATGGATAATTCGAAATATACTATCTCCGATGATATGCTTGAATTTTTACATCACAACTTGCAAATTAGATGCGGATGAAAACAAGCTGCACTTTTTTTGGAAGAACCAATGGCAGAGTTTTTACGATAAAACTATCTACAAGATGATTTGTCGAAGCGTTATAAAGATATCCCCTCCTTATTGTATGGGAAGAAAATATAAACAACACCATAGTCATTCAAACAAAATGAAACTTAAGATGTTAATGAAGGAAATACCTAAGCTGCATCTAGTCTTGAAAGCAAATCATGATTGCAGGCCAATAGTTCGATATAAAAATGATTCTCTAACTCCTGCAGATAAGAACAGAATAAAAGAACGGTTGAATTTCCTGAGAAAGTTAACAGGTAGATCTCATAAGAAGACTGAAAGCCAATTCAGTGTATTATATTCCAATTGGCTAAAATTAAATCGCCCAAAATTATACTTTATCAGAACAGATCTAAGTAATGCTTTTGGCTGTGTGAATAAAGAAAAACTTATAACAATACTACACGAGAGGTTTCGGAAACTGAAAGAAGAGGCTGGTGTCTCTGAAAAGATGTTACATCAATTTAAAGATATGATTTCTGAGCTTCGTAGGCCTCTACTAATACGGACTGGTTCTACCGTTTATGAATGGAAGAAGGGACTGGTACAGGGATACAAATATTCACCAGCACTATCAGAATTATATTATAATCATTTGGATGAACAATATTTTGAAAATTTTATAAAAACAACTGAAAACAACATAAAACTGTTTGTCAGAGTTGTAGATGATTATCTGTATGTCACAGATTCATTAGAAGATGCTGAAATGTTTTTAAAAGCGTTATCAAACTATGATAATGTGAACTATGAGAAGACTGTTGTAAACTTTTCCCACCCAACGATTAAATATAGCGAAGAAATTACTTTTTTGGGTTACTGCTATAACACTGTTACGCTGCATGTTAGCAGAGCACAAAATGTATTAACCGGTCAAATGTGTTATAAAATAACATTTAATAGTTCAATAGATAATATTTACAAGTTTTTAGAAACACGTATCGGACAGTCAAGTCAGATCAGTGGCCATATTTTCAATTTTATTCACAACTCTGAGGAAATTGTTTGGGGGCATATATTTAGCACATTTTGTTTATCAGCGAATAAATTTTGTACAATATTAGCCATGCTTTGCGATGAGTGTGAGATGAGGGATCTTTTAAAATTGTACAAAAGGAAAGTTACTGTAAGACTTACTAACACTATTTTGGAAGTGCTGATGAAGAATAAACCTAAGGATTATACGTTTATGTATTGCATAAACCATTTTCGGTATATTTCTTGGTTGGCGTTGAATTTGTGTGCGAAATTGACCCCTAAATGTTTGAAACTAGTGCCGTTTATCAAAGATGAACTGGCGAAATCGAATTGTTTGTTTGGGAAGTGGAGGGATCATGCAAGCAGGATCGATATTGATGGAAACAACTTGCGACAGGCTGTGAAAGTAGTATGCAGAAGGACAGACTTGAGAGCCATAGTCAAAAAGTTTGATACTTTACCAGAAGGGTTCCAGTGTTACCACCATAAATTACTTTTAAAATGCAATTAACTTATTTTGTTACTGTTAAAGAAAATAAAAACAAAATTTTACATAAGGCACTCTATTTATTGTTTTGTATAAAATAATACAGTTTGTATTAAAACTTACTAATTTATAATTATGAGATTTCATTTGGACGGTTTTGTTATAAAATGCACCTGGTGCTACCATTTTCAAGTGATTGGACTTGAAAATTCACAATATCAATAATAATATTATTGTTACAGACATATAAGAAAAAATATAATAAAAGTCTTTTAGCAAAATAGTAAAAAAATAGATTTTGTACTAAACATTTAAAGTAAATAATCTAGTACTTATTAGTAAAACAATAAAAACCATTGATATAAAAAGACATACCACAATAATGTAGAAAAGAAATTAAATATCAGTTATGAGATTACTTACACAGTTGCATCTTGTTACTAAATAAATCTAACACAATATTATTTTTAGATTTACACTTACATACACTACCTACACACAATATTGTTTGTTAACTAATACTAGTCTACAAGCTCAGCTTATGATGGACGGATTTAATACATAATTAACATACATTTCATAACTCAAAATTATATAATAAAAAAATTGCTGTCATAATATCAGAAATAGCTGTCATAATATCAGAAATAGCTGTTATAATATTAGAAATAGCTGTCATAATATAAGAAATAGCTGTCATAATTTCAGAAAGTATAAAGTACAGAATGTTTTCTTACAGTTTAACCTATTAAAGAATAGCTATCTTTTCTAGATTACATGTTTATAAATGCATAATTACAAGAAATATTCTAAGATTCACTTATTTACCACAAATACACTTTTTAAGAGCTGTCCAAATTTGACTCCTCATAGATTTCGTATAGCGAAAGAAATCTATTATCATTTTAGCATTAAAGGGCTAAAATGGCGAGTTTTTAGAGAAATTATTGCCTTCCTCTGGCTCCATTCAAATCAGTCTCCATAGACAAGTGGCAGAACGTGACAATTGTAATTCCGAAATGCCTTCGTTCCGGCGTTTTCTTTTTATGTAGCTAACGTACTTTTTATCGTAAAGGGATTCGAATTTCGGAGCGATTAAAAAGTGCCACTTGTCTATGCCCGTTGTTTTTCATAGTTATTTCCTATCGTAGTAAAGCGACAATAAACACCGCCAAGCCTATTACAGCCCCCACCATCCCGTTCCTATAACCAGCGGACAAAAAGTCCGTATCAGCCGCAATGTAGTAAGCGCTTTGCGGCGCGTCGCACGACACTATGCGAGCGGCGCGAGGTAACGCCTTGCCCGCTATGATGTCCGCTGAACGCTGCTTGTGCGGCAAAGGCTTTATAGATGACCTAAACTGAACTGTCCCACCAAACTCATTGACAGAGGGGCGCCACCATCGTTCAACTTTATAGTTTCCAACATGGCAAAAATTGGAATCAGCGATTTGCTATTGACGGTGGCGCTCCGATATCAATGTCACGGATAGGACAGTTCAGTATATTGGGTCTAACGAAATAGTAAATTATTTTCTTCACCAACCTTCCATAAAACCGTCAAAGTAAAAACTTCTAAATAAATGCATCCGGCTCGAAGGACCATTGTTAGCAGACCGCTGCGTCGTAATGTCAGAAATAGCTGTCAAATTTTCAAAATAGCTGTCATTATAACTATAAATAAACGTCAAAAAGTGTAAACCACAATTTTTTCTTACGTAGCTACTTCTCAACGATTTCGGATCGATCAAAAAGTGTCACTTGTCTAAGTTAACTGTTTTAAGGTAGATTATGTATTATCGTAGTAAAGCGACCACAAAGATCGCCAAGCCTATTACAGTCCCCACCACCCCGTTCCTATAACCAGCGGACAAAAAGTCCGTATCTGCCGCGATGTAGTAAGCGCTTTGCGGCGCGTCGCACGACACTATGCGTGCGGCGCGAGGTAACGCCTTGCCCGCTATGATATCCGCTGATCGCTGCTTGTGTGGCAAGGGCTTTAGACGGACCGCTGCGTCGCTGAAGATTAAGTCTGCGTATGGAGGAGGCGAGAAGAACATGCTGAAACTGGAAGAGAAATAAATCATGATAGTGGGGAACATCATGGACAAACACTATATGGGCTGTGACGTTTTTGTTCATGTCATGGACTTTCTTCTTCTTGTCTATGGCTACGTTTGCCAATGTCACGTGAGCATAGCCATTTCACGGTATAAGAAATTATAAACCCTGGGGTTGAGTTGGACAAACACTATGTGAGCTATGACGTTTTTGTTTGTCATGGATTTTCTTAAATTTTATATTTGTATGACGTTATGGATTCCCCTATATTTTATAGTGTATCACGTGTTATGAGACGAAAACAAAATTTTGCAAAAGAAATGTGAAATCCAACGTAGCGCATGGTATGATAGGTGGACACTGTCTACAAATCCCCTGAGCAGAGAATCAAGGGGATATGTGGACAAAAAGTCTACAAATTCCCTTAGCAGGGGATCATCTAAAGCTTCAACCACACCAACGCGTGCAGATCGCCATTGCCGGTGCGATCATAGGCCAATGTAAGATACAGGCAAAATATTTTGCTTAGTTTAGGTTTTATTAATTATGTCCGTGCACTAATTTTAATTGAAACCAAACGTGTACTTATCTAGGCTAAGTTTTATACAGAAATAAATTATTTATTATTTTATTATTTATTTATTAACTAGCTTTCCGCCCGCGTGGAATTTTGTCTGTCACAGAAAAACTTTATCGCGCGCGTCCCTGTTTCAAAAACCGGGATAAAAACTATCCTATGTTCTTTCCCGGGACTCAAACTATCTCTATGCCAAATTTCATCAAAATCGGTTGCGAGGTTTAAGCGGGAAAGCGTAACAGACAGACAGACAGACAGACAGAGTTACTTTCGCATTTATAATATTAGTTGGGATGACAGGTCGCGTGGACTGTCATGGGCCGCGCGACCTGTGTTGAAGCATATGGGGTTTTATGTAATAAGACAAGATTTTAACATGATGGAGTAGTTCATACCTAAACTCGTCAGTAGTAGCGGCGCCGTACAATTGCTGCGCGTAGACCATGAGGTTAGAATATGTGTCTAACTCGGTGTGGTTGGCGCGCCCCATCAGCACCGAACCCGGGACCTTGCCCAGGTTGCAGTGTTTGTACTCGCTGATCTTGGCCCGTGTACCTGGAGACATTAATTTTGTTAATACGGTTTTTTAGGTCAAGGTATTGTCTAGCTAGCTAAAGGAGCGGAGACAAAAGTACTGTCTGGACACAGCAGCTGCAGTTTAACTATTGTCTAGACTCTAGTCTAGTCCCCTTCTTATTCTTAAGGGGAGAGGGTGGGCATACCAACTGTAGATCCTGGCTACACAGGAGTTGCAGCGGCGGGAATGAGAGGTGGGGATAGTCCCGTTTAGAGGGAGGGGAGAGGGTTGGGGGTGCACGTATCGTCTTAGCACTGCAGCAACAGATCCGAGTTATAATACAGACACAAAAGTTGATCGAGCTATCGTCTAGAGGAGAGAGGAGGAAGGTGTTTCTCGTACCGTCCGGGCACAGCAGCGCTAGAAAGAAGGAACTTGCCGTCCGGATACAGTAACTCTAGAGGGGACACTCACCGCCCGGGCACAGCAGCCATAGGTCCAGCTATAGTCTAAGAATCTAGAGGGAGGGTAGTAGGGTACATATAGAGGGACACAGCAACTCTAGAGGAAAGGAACATCTTACCGTCCGGACACAGCAACTCTAAAGGGAGGGGACACTCACCGGTCCGGGCACAGCAGCTGCAGATCTACCTATAATCTAAGAGTCCAGAGGGAGGGTAGTAGGCTGGGGACACGCACCGTCCGAGCACAATAAGTCTAGAGCGTTCGGACACTCACCGTCCGGGCACAGCAGCTGCAGGTCTAGCTATAGTCTAGAGGGAGGTGCAAGTATAGCTGGATATGGGATAGTCTAGAGGGAGGGGAGGGTGTATTCGACACAAGTACCATTCGGACCCAGCAACTATTGTTATTGTCTAGAGCTTAGAAGAGTAGGGATTCACGCACCGTCCGGGCACAGCAGCTGCAGGTCTAACGGCAGCAGGTCGCGCGCCCACCACTCGCGGCGGCGGCCGCCGGACACTTCAGCGGGCGCGGTGTGCCGGACGAAAGCCACGTCACCGCCGCCTTCCACCATGCAGCGGACTGCGCCCACGTGACCATAGTATGGCTCGGACGCGTCACGGCGGCACCGTCTAGAGAACCAAGAGGCATTGTTATAACGCTCGCCCTACTACGGGACTATTCCCACCGCTGCAACTCCTGTGTAGTCAGGATCTACAGTTTGACTGCCAATAAAAACCCAACCAGTGAAGGTCCAGTTTGTCCCAAGGGGGAAAATTAAACTGTCACTGTCAAAAATTTGGGATTGATGGTGAAAAATGAAAACGGGCATGTGTTTTGTACGTGAACCGCTAGGCCACACAACCTTCAAATTAATATGCATCATTACATAACCTTTACATAGCACGGTCTTCCTAAAATGACGTAAGTCAAACAGACCTAGAAACTTGCACCAACGTATCACAATAGAAATTAAATTCAAACTTACCTGAACGAAGCACCGTGACACAAATGGCACAGGTTATCCTGCGGGATAGTGTTGGAGTCGACGTATTCGCTGCTCAGCGCTCCAGGTGCACACGACTTGGTGAAGTACTGGGCGGCAGCGTGGGCGCCGTCGCACTTGTATGACCTGAGCGATAAAGCTTATCAAAAAATCAAAAATATTTATTCAGTTTAGACCACAAGTGGCACTTATGAACGTCAATAGAAAATAATAAAAAAAGAAAAGGTAGCCCTTATGGGGCACTTTACATGTCTCCTTATCTTTTGGGCCCTACCAGCGCTTCGAGACAAACATCATTATTTTAGCTTGGCAGCATTAATTAGGAACAATTCGTTGGAAAGAAGAAAAAATAATCTTTCCAAACAGCTCAATCTTTCAGCAACGCCCGGTGACACAAATGGCACAGGCTGTCCCTTAACCCTTTTTTAGATATATTGTTTTAAACCTTTTTTAGATGCCCTGTTTGTAATGACCGTTTTTTAGATGCCCTGTTTGCAATAGCTCTTTTTTAGATGCCATGTTTGCAATGACCCGCAGGTTTTTAGATACCTTATTTAAATGCAATGACTCGTTTTAGATACCCTGTTTGCAATTACCCTTTTTCAGATGCCCTGTTTGCAATGACCCTTTTTAGATGCCCTGTTTGCAATGACCCTTTTTAGATGCCCTGTTTGGAATTACCCTTTTTTAGATGACCTGTTTGCAATGTCCTTTTTCTGGCTTACCTGATCCACCCGTTAGAGATGAGGTACGCCAAAGGGTACACCCAGCCAGCGGCCATGCCTATTCCAGTATGGCAGGTGTTCTTGCCGCGAAGGTAGGTCAGATCAGTGTCCGGATCCTGCTCTTTGGCCACTGCCACTGCATAGTACCAGTTGTCGCCGGTTGTGTAGATCTGGAAACGATGTTGAGGTTATGAAATGTCATGACATTTCACTTTATTTCTATTTGAATCCTCAGGATTTTAAATAGATAAAGCCTGGTCCGTGAGCACGTAGAGTTTTGTCCAATGACCCCAAGCTACCTATCCTTATCGCTCGCGCGTAATTATGTTGCTCGCGCTCGCACACTCACTGCGGGCACCCGTCGCACTGTCGCGACAGCAATATAATTACGCGCGAGCGATAAGGATGGGTAGCTTGGGGTCATTGGACAAAATTCTACGTGCTCACGGACCAGGCTTTACAATGTTCAAAGAAAAGCTGACTTCAGTGTTGACAACATTTTATGATGTAGAACATCAGTTCTACGGCCCTCAGGCCGTTGGAGAAAAAACGTTCTCGAGTGGCGGTCATAGATCAAACTGAAGTCGTAGTGTAGGTAGGCCTTTCACTTGATGGACTGACGATCTGATGAAGATTACCTGATCTTCTCAAACTGTCTAAGTGAAGGTCAAATCCACCCTTTTGCCTGTGTTAAATAGAGGACAAGTTCTGCAGAGGAGATTAAATGACCCGTTGATGATGATGACGATGACCATGATGTAAGAATGAAGGACGTGACTTAGGCTGAGTTGCACCACCTAACTTTGAGCGTAACCATAACGATTATCGGTGTTTTTTGTATGGACTGTCGGATTGTCAGATTTTTGACGTTTGTCAAAGTAAGATGGTGCAACCGAGCCTAAATGTACGTACCTCCTGCATGAAGGGCACTAGGCGATGATTGCTCGCGGCTCGCAGTATATCAGCTGCGTTGAACAGAGCGAAGTCGCACGTGCCTTCAGCGATGGCTCGCTCGCAGTGACGTGTGCTATGACGTAATATTACATATTTCTTGCAAAATGACACCTATTACAACGACTTAACGTACCTCCTGCATGAAGGGCACGAGGCGGTGGTTGCTCGCGGCTCGCAGCATATCGGCAGCGTCGAACAAAGCGAAGTCGCACGTGCCTTCAGCGATGGCTCGCTCGCAATGACGAGTGCTGTGCGCGCGCCAGCATACTAGGGTTGGAGATAGGAAAGCTGCTTTCAGCGCCACCTGAATACAAAAAAGTTAAGTTAATAATAATATTAAATAGGAGGAAGTCGAACCTGAACTTTGAAAATGTTCTTTTGATTAATTTCGTTGGGAGTCTAATGACAGTTTAACTTTCTTCAGGGACCAATATTACTCTCTAGTTACCCTATTTATAACCATACAGTATGTGTGTCAATTTACGTTTGAACTGAGTAGCTAACGGCCTACTCAGCGGTTACTCGCAGTCCGTAGTCCACTTTAGGTTAAGAGCGATAGCCTGCTAGCAGTCCGCTCTGATATCTAAGTCGAGCTGAAGGGTGCGTGCCAGGATTCTCCGTATTCCTACTTACCTATAACCTACATAAAGTACCTATATGTGTGCCAATTTATTTATGAACTGAACCTACCCTCATTTTGATACACTTCTCCATCTCAGCATCGCTAGTAACGCACAGCATGGCGCGTTTTACCGGGCAGTCTCGGATGCCCAACACGGCTTTCTCAGCTTGATCACCGACGAACTTGTTGTTTAGAATGTGTTTGGCTGCTTGCTCCTCCTCTTTGAGGACTAGGAAGTTTATTGTTGCGTCCTGAGAATGGAAAATATAGAATAGAATATTTATTTGTTTTAAAATTAGGTATGTGTTCTTTAATAAATATCTGGTACATGACCCGGCAGAGATGCCTTCTGGATTCCATTTATACAATTTTATGTGCAAAAAACTTTTATGTATTTTATTCTTTTTTAAAAGAGAATAATTTTAAGAGAATAAACGCATTGAAAAAACTAAATTAAGGGCATAGTAAATATGAATGTTATTAATGACGTTGATATGCAAATATTCAGGATTTAAATTAGTTGCAGCACTCCTCCTCCCCCCATTTATTGGGAAAAGGTTAAAATCTGATACTATGTAAATGACCTCCCACCAGAATTTATAGTATTTTACAATACTTTTCTTAGTCTTTTTCTCTCTTCACAAAATTGTTGGTAAGATAAATTCAAATTAAAGATTATTTCATACCTGCAGCAACAAATCTGTAGTGCCATTTGAACTGAACAGTTGGAAGGGTAGTTCAATAGGCTGTCCAGCCGCGTCCACACGCTGTTGGAACGGCGAGTACGTGCTTGATCTGTTGACAAAGTTTGAGTTAGTTCTGGGCTTGACCGAGAGATGGCGCTGTACGGTTTTACCCCACGGTAACGAAAATACACTCAAGAAGCAAGTACAGATTTACAGCTTGAGGGTAGAATTATACTTGGGTGTCGTTTTGCAATGTTTTTAGTGTCAATTGACGAAAGTTTGAGTAAACCAATGATAGAGTAGAGACCACGTCCTGGGGATTTAAGGTTCGTGTAGTACGTTACTTAGGCTAGATGGACCGCTGACCTCAACGAGATAGTTTATTGAACAAAAGCTTTTAATCATTGACAACTTATACACATATTTAGTGGAAATGATGCTTGTATATTAAGAGTATCATCTAATCACTAATGTCATTGTCTCCTATATGAACTACATATTGAAATGCATGACATAAACGAATCTTACTTGACTTATCTAAAGCCCGGTCTCCGAGCACGCAGAATTTTGTCCAGTGACCCCAAGCTACCCATCCTTATCGCTCGCTCGTAATTATATTGCTGTCGCGACTGTGCGACGGGCGGCCACAGTGAGCGTGCGAGCGCGACAGCAACATAATTACGCGCGAGCGATAAGGATGGGTAGCTTGGGGTCATTGGACAAAATTCTATGTGCTAGGCGACCGGACTATTTATAGTAATTATAAAACTTACCTAAACTCGTCATTATTCACAGTATTCGGGTTATAATTATAGCTGTCTCTTCGGTACGGGTCGTAAATCGATCTTGGCGGTTCCGTACTAGATGTGAACGGGTTGCCGTAACCATCTCGCGACTGGTAACCGGTGGTGCGGTTAGAGTTACGGTTAAGGGGGTTCGGCTGGCCGTACAGCTGGACTAGTTTGTGCAGGAAGTGTTGTAATCTGTGGACAAGATTGTTTTGTTAATTTTGGCAGATTATTGAAAATCCGTAAAAAATAAACGTAAGCTTTGAAAAAATATTTTAGTCATCTTTAAAATCTCAATGGTGATTGGAGATTTGTAATGAAAAATCTTGTATTTATGATCTTTCTTTTGTGGTCTTTATAATGATAGTTATCGCATTTACGCTGACCAGTTGGCACAAACTAATGAGCGAGAATAAGATATCCAGCCTATCGTGTGCCAGTTAGCGCTGCCTGCTGTTATAAACGGTAGTCCCTAATCCTTAATCCCACCAATGAGACTATTGTATAACCAGGGCCCAAGAAGGTACTTAGGTTTCATTGGCACCACTCTTAAGAGCGTTTACGCGAAGCGCGGCGTTTCAAGGGGCATCATTGGAAATGATTCGCGCGCGGCGTTTTTCAATAGTTTTCAAATGTTTATAGCAAAACAATAACAATGGATTATATATCGTTTCAAACTAAATATTTTAAAGAAGATGTTATTTTATTATATTAGGCTATTTTTATGTTGAATTAAAGAAGAATAATGGTGTAAAAATCACTTTGATTTTTGGGTATTTCCCGTTCTTTGAATTTGTGATTTCTTATTGTAAAATGCTTAAATCTAAGAATTTTCTCAACTAACTACACTCGCGAGCAAAAGTATGGAATCACTTACATGAAGTTGTTTCCACGCGAACTTGTGTACTAACGAATTTGTTAGGAACAAAAAAAGTGGCACCATTTTAAAGATTAAACTTTTATCTTTAAATTGATACCAAATNGGCCGCAACTCGCGACGTATCAAACAGTTCATACATGTGTTTTTCGTTACTTCTTCACATCAGCTGGGATATCTTTTTAAATACTGGTGTGATTTAAATGAATTTGGTATCAATTTAAAGCTAAAGGTTTAATCTTTAAAATGGTGCTACTTTTTTTGTTACTAACAAATTCGTTAGTACACAAGTTCGCGTGGAAACAAGTTTATGTAAGTGATTCCATAGTTTTGCTCGCGAGTGTATTTGCCTAAGGACCCATGCTATAGGACATAAATGTTTGTTATATCGTTTTCACAGTATTTTTATAAAAAAATCAGCTTGTAAACTGACGCTAAAATGGAAATTTGAAAACCTGTGTGGACTTATCTTGATAGAATTCTTAAATACTATACTAATCGAAGTATTTTCTCAAGTAACTATTTAGACGACGAAATTGCCTAATTATTTATGCCTATAACATATTTGTAATGTAACTGGTTAATGATTGTAACAGGTTGAAAAAGTACTGTTTTTGCGCCAAACGGCGTAAACGCTCTTAAATCCACTAGCTAGCGGGTGCCAGGATCTTCTTTATTTGTGTCGCCAGCTGGTGAGCGCAAAAACAAAACAGATTTATCGCCAGGAACAAAAGACGAAGAGTTAATAGTTCCCACCTTCGCCGCTGTTTCGGCGTGGCGGCGCTGCTGGTGACGATGGCATCTGCAGGCACGCGGCCCCAGTTGCATTCCTCCCAATCTGTGACTGGTCGACGGGATCCATCCCGGCAGATCAGCTCGAAGTGGTCTTCGGACACTCCACCTGATAGGAGCAGAATATTAAATTTAAAACACTAGTACAAACATTTTATACTCCGGTTAGGGGTCCAATTAAGCATAATGCTCGATTCGACAGTCCGAAACCGACACTGTTTAGTTGAGAGAGTAGTTGTAGAGTGAACCATCAGCATTTCATAAACAGCTAGGGACTTCAGTCCCTAGGCGGTAGCCAGATAGATTAATATTTGAAACAACTGATCTTTTCCGAACTCTATGGCTACTCTCACTAGAAGCGAGATTCTTTAATTAATTCTGTCTTTGCTAGGCAAATTAAGTTTTTGGCTAACACTCCCGCGATCGTCAAAACGTTTGAGGCATTAAGAGGGTTAGTGGTATATGTGAAAAAGTTCTATTTAAAAGCCTAATAACCTAATTCGTCGTTTAAGCCAAATGACGTCCACGGCTGGACAAAGACCTCCCTCAAGAGTGTCTACAACCATCGGCTTAGTTACAGAAAATCAAGATTTTCCAGACTACTGACAGAAAATAATGAATTTCATATCAATACTCACCCAATATCTTTCTGGACAGCAAAGCGTGCTGTATAGTAGTGTCGCGTACAAACGCGATGTCCCCTGTCCCGTTCGCCACGAGGCACTTCAGAGCGCCTTCGTACCCCGCGTAAGGATCCGCCAGGGTACAACGGAACCCTGCCGCGCCAGTACAGAGTTTGCATAACCTGGAAATTGAAAAAAGAATCATAAAAAAAATGACTGTTGGTATCTATCCAATATCATTTCAATCTAATCTGATAAAAGCTGCTGGCTGATTGCAGATAGAAAAAAAAAGGAAAGGAAAAAAAAAACAAATAAAACAAACCCAGTAAAACTTTTCTTAAAAACACGAATCCTAAATGGCCAATACTTTTAAGTAAATCAAGGTTGTTACTTTTCAATCAAAAATATTATGATGTGCAACAGACTGGAATCAACTACAGTTCACTAGTTTTTGTATTTGATGGCATAAGTCACACCAGACTTCTGAATTAGGAACAAAGCAGCTTTATACTGGTGAAGAATTTTCAAAATCCTTTAGCAGCTCTTGAGATTGCATGCTTAAAACCTTACGTCTTCATAATTTAGTATGATTTGGTACATAAACTTACTTGTCAGAATTATCTCCAATAGGATTGTAATAGTCTTTCAAGGAGTTAGGAGCACAGGATTCCCCAAAGAACTCTGTTGCTGATTTGACATGGTTGTTGCAGTCTGTAATCTTCAGTCCACCTTCTTGCATTAACTGAAACAATATTATTTATATTACGAAAATTCTTTAAGGTTGGAGTGCACCATCTTACTTTAACAAACGTCAAAAGCTTGTCACACTCCATGCAAAAACACCAGTAAAAGTTACAGTTACAGTTAGGTGGTGCAACTGAGGCCAAGAAGCCCATCAGAAATAACTGACAATCAGCAAACATCAAAACTTCTATTCAACATTTGAACAGTATAACAATAAAAATTTCTTTCTGGTACGAGGGCGGCACTGAAAATTTCGGGAATCAAGGAAGTGAAACAACATTACTATTTAAAAATATATTTATTGCTTTTTAAAGTATTCTCCGCGAAATTTGACACATTTTTCCATACACGAAACCAATCATTGAAGCAACCATTGCATTCGGAAGTTTGGGTCTCCAAAATGGCCGTTTTGTAGGCTTCCACAGCTTCTTCAGGTGATGAAAATCTCGGACCACGCAATTTATTCTTTATTTAAGGGAAAGTATAGAAATCATTGGGGCTTAGGTCGGGGCTGTACGGCGGATGGACTAATAATTCTATGTTTTCTTGCTCAAAAACTCTTTTGTTCAGTGCGCGGTGTGAGAACTCGCATTGTCGTGATGGAGGATGATGCGGCGGTTGCAGTTCTCTTTACGGAGTTCAGAAACGACCTGTGGCAAACAAATGCTAGCATACTAATCTGCATTAACCGTTCTTTGTCCCCCAAGAGGAATAGTCGCAACATGGCCGGTTTTGGAGACAAACGTGGCCACCATTTTTTTTGCAACACTCCGTGAACGAACAATTTTTGTTGGCTTTAATTCATTTTCGAACACCCAAACTCGTGACTGGTTTTTTGTTTCGGGTTCGTACGCGTATATCCATGATTCGTCACCTGATACGATGTTGTATACAGCATTTGAGGATCCTGCATGTAATCTCCCGAGAGTTCTGACGCACCAAGTAACGCGAGCCGCTTTTTGCTCTTCACAGAGCGAATGCGGTATCCATCGGGAAAACAACTTTTTTACACCTAATTGTTCATGCAAGATTATTTGTATTTGACTCATGCCAATGTCTAAAGTTGCCTGAATTTCGCGGTATATCACATGTCGATCTTCTTCAATCAGCTTACGCACAGCATCAACGTTTTCTTAGGTGACTGCAGTTTTTGGACGACCTTGACGGGGATCATCACTGAGCTTGACACGTCCACGTTGAAATTCAGGAAACCAGCGATAAATTGTGGTTTTGGATGGGGCTTCATTACCAAATGCAGAAATCATCCGGTCAACACACTGTTTTTGTGTTAAACCACTTCAAAAGTCATAATAAATCATCGCTCTTGAATTTTCTCGAGTCAATTCCATTTTCTCAACGACTAAACAAGTTTGACAAGACCTTGTGATACGACCGAGAATCTTTTTTTTAAATAAATAAATGGTATACGATTTTTAAAACCCTGGAGTTTGCAATTAAATAGATTTTAATATGACTGGAACAGTGGAAATATTCCATTCCCGATACTTTTAGTGCAGCCCTCGTAAATATTTTATGCAGAAAATAGTTGAATACTCATCACAAAAAGATCACTCACAACATGTATCGGCATGACCCATCCCGCCAGCGCTCCGACACCTGGGAAGCAGGCCTTCGCCCCTCGCAGGGCTCCCAGGCCTGTGCCAGGCTGTACATGAGGGAGGCCCCCTTTGTTCACCACTGCCACTGCATATTGGTACGGCTCTGATCGGCCGTACAACTGTTGGTAAATAATTTATATTAATAATTGGCAATACAATTTTATTCAATACAACATGCCTAAGTAGCTGTATTTGGCCAAGGGACTACCTACTGTAAAACATACATTTTAATTTGATTTCAGGATACAAGCAAGGTTGAAAATCTTAGTATCCCTTAAAGATTATCTTTAAAGATTTAAGTAAGGTTCAGATTCTTAAGTATCCCTTAAATCCATTAAAGATTCCTAAAAAGGATTTTAAATATCACACCTGGAACGTGTTAAGAGAAACAGATATAGTCTATATTCTAGTCTATAAATCAATTTAGTCTTACCTCCATCATAATCGGAACAAGGGAGTGGTATCTTCCGGCTACATACACCTCTCCAGCATCCAACCCAATCAGGGACGCTTCTCCTCTGTCCACCCATGTCATGCACTCTTCAGTGTCGAAGGCCTGGTAATTAAATAGAAATGTTTTTTCAGTAAATTAAAAATTACAAAAGTATTAATTCTTTATTTGTTAACCAATTTCAACAAAAGGAGAAGGTGAGAACCTTCATTCAGTTGGTTCTTTCAGGCTTGAGATCCTATCTATTTGTAAACCTTATAATCTTGTATGCTTGAAACTAACTAATGGTAAGCTGTCAACAAGTAATTTTATTTATCTTTGGGTTATTATATCATACCAGATGGGTATTAATCAATTGAGCATGGAAACTACTCTCAATCAACAAGTTTGTAAGCAAAAGCATGTGTTTTTAGAACTTGTGTACCTACTAAAAGAAAATAAGCACAACTTAAAAGTGGCGAATTTGTACACTGTGCTATTATAAGCTGTTTTAAGACAAATACATGCATTCTCTTCATACCCTTTTGCACTGAAGCTCAATGTAGTCAGCACCGAACAGCCCTTTATCCTGCATGGCAGTTCTCATTAGTTTCTCGCATTTTTCCTGCTCCGGTACTGATATCGTGCACCAAGTTATCACAGACTGCCCTTCCACTCTCTGGTCCCTCAGACTGTTCGCTATAGTCTCGCTCCAAATATCACAGTGTGCGGTTACTGAAAGATATCATCAAGTTTATTGAACAAAACGAGGTTACTTCAACGACTCCGTTAGGTCGTTGAAAATACAATATAGTAGTGATTTATATTAGGCTCTTGGGTTATAATAGTTGGGACTATCCAACTAGAACTCTTTTTACAATAGTTTGTTGTTTTTCACAAAGTTTTCAGGACTGAATTGCGACGTTTTAAGTTCAACTTTTAAATAAGATTTTGTGAATGAATTGAGTACTTACCGGCAATAATTAAAATGCCAATCAAGGGGCGATAAGATTCCATTGTTATAACTACTATTTCATATCTAAATTCAATAGAAAAACGTAAATTTAATTTCTAAATGGACACACCCCACCGCAACACAACAAACTTGATTGAACGAATGATAATTTGAAATATTGAATGGCGAACGATAACAGAATGAATGGATAAGAATTGTGGCTTTGAGATATAGAATTTCGCCTAATCATAATCGATAGTTTTCATAAAATACCGGTTAACTAATCGGTAGTGGTGACTCACTATGGATTTAGAAAAATAATGTCAAAAAATATTTGATAGCTGAACTGACTGACGTTTCGAGATATTTCAGGAACTTCGCAATATTTTTGTTTTCGGCGATTTTTTGCAAAGTTTTGGTTTCTACTGTTTATAAATAACCAGCAAGTGGAGATTAGACTTTTTCCTAATAGGCAATAGAGTTTAATAGTACATCTGTGTTTTATTCTGAAAAATATTGTCACTTTTATTGAACACATTATTTCCGACCCATTTTTTGAGTCCACGTGCGAAATAGTTGTATAACATGGTTGTATTTACTTGCGGGCATTGCGGCGAGTCTGTACAGAAACCTAAGGTCGAGAAGCATTACTTGACAAAATGCAGGAACCGCAGCCCCAATTTATCTTGTATGGATTGTTTCAAGGATTTGTAAGTACACCCCACGTTGTGCTATTTCTATTCTTATTAGAAAATTGTCTAGCAACTAATAAATTCCGAATAGTTCAATGACTTCACGGCATAGTTTTAAATCCAAGAAGCCATTCCATGTGATTGGTTTAAGTTTAAACAAATGCACCAATCACAAAAGATATTTTGAGTTGTTGTTATGCTAACAATTTATCAGATTGATAAACGCGTAGGAATGTTTTTGTAATATTATAAATTGCATAACTCTTGATAAGGGGCCGTCCATATATTACGTCATTCTAAATTAGGGGGGGGGGGGTTGGTCTGCGGATGACGGTAAATGCCCCCCCCCCCCCGCCGCTACTGATTACATATAATACTAGCTGCCCGCCCCGGCTTCGCCCGTGGTACTTACGTGTATTATACATATAAACCTTCCTTAAGAATCACTCTATCTATAAAAAAAAAAAATTAAAGGTGATTCTACAAGTGTTTTAATTTTGTCAAACTGGTAATGACGTCAATTTTGGGAGAAGGGGGGGGGGTCATTAAGAAATGACGCTAGGATGATTGTAGGGGGGGGGGTCTAAAATCTGAAAAAATCGATGACGTAATTTATGGACGGCCCCTAAGTCAATCCAAGTTCTAAAACGTTACAAGTTCAGGTGTGCTTTGAGGTTATAAACCTTAATGTAAACAAAAACATAAATAAACTACTTCAGAAAGAATTAACCTTTTCTAAGCACACCATAACTTTTGAATTGTTGTCTGGAATCTCAGCAGATGGCCGGTTAATCAAAATCAAAATTAAAAATATTTATTCAGTTTAGACCACATGTGGCACTTATGAACTTCAAAATATAGTAAATAATAAAAAAAGAAAAGGTAGCCCTTATGGGGCACTTTACATGTCTCCTTATCTTTTGGGCCCTATCAGCGCTTCAAGACAAACATATGGCAATAACTTGCAAAGTATAATAATAAGGTCTTTTCCCATTATTTCAGTGGCCAGGATTATGAGAATCACTACAAATGCATTACCGAAGAAGAAAGATACTCTGGAAAAGGTTTCCAAGCCAAGGAGAAGAAGGGTGAGAAAAAACAGAATGCCTGGGTTGAGATGCTGCAGTCGGTCCTGGACGAACAAAAGTCTGCACCAGCCAACGTGCGCAAGATCGTCGAGGCTATCAGCAAACACAACAACACACCGCGAAAGAAGCCAAAGTTCATCAACTTTGTTAAAAATGTATGCGGTCACAAGACCAACCCAAAAGATATCGATCAAGCCTGGGATCTCATTTCGGTGAAGCTATTGGAGTTATCTAATGTCAATCAGAGTAGGAACCAAAGTAAAAATAATGACACACCCAAAAGTAATGGAAATGTGGAAATTGAAGAAACCAATGGTGATATAAAAGACACAGAAACTGAAGAGAACAAAGAAAATGGTGATGTGGAACCAGAAAACGTTGAAGTTGAAGAAAAAATTGAAAATGGTACAGTTGAAAAGGTTAATGACAAGAAGTTGACCAAAAAACAGCGCAAAGAGGAGAAAAAGAGGCAAAAATATGAGGCGGAATTACAAAGTGCCGAAGCTCCACCAGCTGAAGAGGAAGACGATGAAAACCAAGCTCCAAGCAAGAAGGGAAAGAAGAAGAAGAATAGGACAGAGTCTGGAAATAACGAAGAAGATGCCGTGCCAGCTGAGGGTAAGAAGAAGAAGCGTAAGAGGCAAGACACCGTCTGCAGTACCATAGAGGTTGTGGAAAATGGTAACGACAACATTGAAAATGTGCCTATTAATAAAGAAAAGACTCTAAAAAAGAAATTGAAAATTGATGAGAAGGAAGCTGCTGATGAAAGCGTTTGTTTGCATGATCAGAACGTTGCGAACGGAGAAACCGATGAAGTTGTAGTATCTAAAGGTGAAAAGTTTGACTGGCATGCAGTTATAATGTCGGTTTTACAAAAGAAAGGCGATGAGATGCCATTCAAGAGACTACAGAAGAAAGTTTTATCCGAATACCAAGAGATGACTGGCCAAGAAGTGGACGATAGAATCGCTGAAAAGTTTATTAAGAGATTGAAAAGCGCTCCTAAAGTGCGGGTTGACAGAAACAGGGTTTATATTGAGGACTAAGTTAATTATCAGAGATTTTAATTTGGTATTCTACATGCCAGTTGTTAAACGTAAGAGTTTTAATTAAGGTAGTATCTCTGGGACAACTTTACGTTGCTTACTATAGATGATTTGTACTTTTTACACCTTCGAAGCATTTTTCTTTTCTATACCTAAGTGTGGTTGGTGTTCAATAAAATATCCTATCACTATAGACATAATACATTTTCCTCAGAGTTGTGCATAATGATGAACTGTATGAGAAATTATGGTTTGTATTAAATGTTTCATGTGTAAGTATTTTCGATTTATTATTTCGGCTTCTTTCTTTATATTACTATTTTCAGTTCAGTAGACCTGTACTTATTAAAAAACAGTAATATAAAAGTCTACCATATTTTGTAACTTACAAATAGAACTAGGGACTAAATGTTCGGGCGCTTAGCGGTCTACAACAGATCGCGGGTTTGATTCCCGCGGGGAGAAGTTTTGTGTGTCGATCATTTCAGGCAATCACCCCCTATACGTAGCGCGGAGTCATGCGTCTGTAATATACTTAAAATAAATCTATACTAATATTATAAAGCTGAAGAGTTTGTTTGTTTGTTTACTTGAACGCGCTAATCTCAGGAACTACCTGTTCGATTTGAAAAATTCTTTCAGTGTTAGATAGCTCATATATCGAGGAAGGCTGTAGGCTATTATACCGTCACGCTACGAGTAATAGGTGCAGAACAAAAATGAAAAATGTTGCGAAAACGGGTTTTCACGCGTACGAAGTCGCGGGCACAGCTAGTGTTTTATAAATGCAGATGGAATCACATTAGATTTCATTTATGGTTGGATGACTGGTAAAGGATAGAGGAAATATGTACGAGTAAAGTTATTTTCCAAGTATAATAATTCCCATCCATCTCAGCATCGCGTTTAAAGTGTGTAGGTAAATATAAACAACGTCATGTGTTCGGTATAGGGGCTGCAATATCTAAAATATTGCAAGCATTTCGTCGCTCTGCCCCAGGCGAGCATTTATTAGCGTGTTTCCTTCAAAGGGGGATTTTCAAAGGGTGCCTATTGAAACAGCCGAACGTTGCTCAAAATATCGGCACTTCGGAGCTTTGTTCGGCGAACAAACAAAGTAAAAGATGCGACGGTACACGAATACTATTAATCATGCCTTTCTGCTGCCAGCATTATTTCGTGTTTCGCAGATACAACGTAAATAATGATTGATGGAACGATTTTTAGTTTTTCAATCTAATTATGGGGTCGTGATTAATTTTCCGAGTAAAAGATGAACCGACTTATGTAATTTTTATAATATTACTTACCTAACTATATGCTTCAGTCGGAGGTTCACTTACTAGGAACAACGGGATTCGAACTACAGACCCTCAAATCGGCAGGGCTATAGGGTTGTAAAGTTAGTTGATACTTGATAGGTAGGTAACTGATATAATTTACCATATCCTACAGCCTACTTAAGTAGCAAGATATTAATTACCAAATTAATTAATTATCTTGAATTGAATCTAGATTACCTACATGGGTTTAGTATTGGTTCGGCTAAACTCCTAATAATTATCTCAACTGAGGTAGGTATTATCAACGCCCTTCGTGTCATGTAACAATAGCCACACATAGACAGCTTGTAACTAAGTACTTACTTATATAGGTAGGTATAACTTACGCCCGTATTCACAAACATTACTATGAGGTCTCACAGTGCACGTGGACGCACAGGGTAACACACGAACCAATCACAGAGTTCTATTCAACACTGTGTTTGTTGCTTCACTTAAGTCTTATTTTGTTAAAACTTAAGCAAGCATCGTTTGTGATTAGGTACGGGTGTTAGCCCAGATTTTCAGCAGTCTAAGTGTTTCGCTCTTCGAGCTAATGTGTTCTATCGCTCCACCTTGCTTGAGTGCTCCTGAACATAGTCTTATACCTTAGGATTATCCTAGCTACAGCAGATTTGGGTAATTCAGAAGCGAGTAGGTGCTGACGTGAAAATAAATGCGCTCATAGAGTGACTAGGGAGTAAGTAGGAAGCCTAAAGAAACTTCGCACTTTCAGGACGAATCTCTAACAATCGTTGGTCGAAGTCTAATAGCGCTTTTGTAATCTCTTACAAAGTGAGAATTATAATACCTCTGTGTAAGGGTTAAGTTTTAGTTTAGTTTACCTAATGTATAAGTTTTTTCTTCTAGTTTTCTTCTATGAAAAGTATTTTCAGTTTTAGGCAAATCAACCCGATAGAAACTTTTTACGGTAGGTAATGTTAGTCTGTACCTACAAAATAATGTAACATCTATTTCTGTACTTTGTAAAAGTAAAGTACACTTGAATAGGTAATTTGAAAGAAATAAAGAAAAAAATATTTATTAAATGATGATTTGCTGAGCCTTATATTATGTTACAACAAGTCTCTGAATAAAATTAGGTACATGTAGGTACGTACCTATCTACCCACTTTAGTTAGTTTTTGATGAGGACTTTCAACCAACGGCCCACGTAGGTATGTTTACAATAATGAGGTCTCAAATTAGGGGAAAGTAGTACGAGATGATCCCCTTAAGCGGGAATCGCTGTAAAATACATATTTTTCAAGGTAAACCAAAAATAAAGACAATCACTACTAGTATATTTATCTATCCAACTTTCCTTATACTCAAAACCAGAAATTAATTGTAGTTTCATTAAAATATTTCATTTTTTGCAAAACCTTACAAAGTGATCATCTTGTACACCCCTGTGGGTAAGATGATCCCCCAGGTAGGGGTAAGATGATCCCTATGATTCTATTCTATGATCTATTCTTTTCTGGTTGTATGCCTTTCGGATTACCTAATTATACGAACAAATCGTTAAAAAGTTAGAAAAGAAAAACATTTACGAATTAAATAACGAAAATAACCTATTCTTTCTTAGTACCTGCTAAAAAGCGTTTAAATAATTTAAACGCTTTTTGGCTGGAGCTGTGTTGCATATATCACAAATAAATGCACCTGCTTCATCACCCTCTACCCCAGCACATGCTTTATGGCCCCATTTTCCACATGCATAACATTTTATCCATCCTTCACCCTTGGTATCGCTTGAAAACTTTTCTGTTCAGTACAGCCACTCAGTATCATCTTCTTCAGACTCAGGTGAGTTATATGAAGTTCTCTTTCTTTTATTTCACTTCCCTTTACCTACTCCATTGACTTTTTTGTTTTAATTCCCAGGGATCATCTCGTACATATAGGAAGGGATCATCTTGACCCAAGTCCCACTTTTTGTTAAATATTTGCTACAATAATCTACAAGTACGCGGCCATGTTTTTATGGCCAAAATATTAAAATTAAACATAATAGAAAGCCTAAAGACAACAGTAATTACATTTAACATTGTTGAAATAAAAGTAACATAAGCTCAAAGTCATGCCTATTTTAGATCAGAGGTACACAATTTTTCTTTTTTCTCGTCAAATTCGATGTATCGCTCACGCCACCATTACGATTTGACTGAGGCGGGGAGGTGTCCAGAGCTATGTTTTACCAGTGAAAGAAACTAAATGACGTTAGTGGTTTCAGCACAATCGCAAAGGATCATCTTACCCCAGGGGATCAACTCGTACTACTTTCCCCTATACCCAATTCGGATTTAGATTCTTGAACTTATTCCCTGATACCACAAAAAATACTAATAAAATTATAAGGAACATGTACTGTCTTAGATCATGTGAGAGTAAAAGAGACGAATGGACCCTATATTTTCCAAATCAATAAAGACCCAGGCCCAGCATCAAGATAACGAATACAAATGGAGCCCAATTGTTTGAGTAACAATAGACCCAAATGGTTATCTTTAGACGAAAGTTTATCTGGATTTATTTATAGGAACTGCTGCGAATGTGTTACTGACTAATTGTTATAGGTAGGTACTATTGGATTGAGCATAATTTGATCGCGAGAAGTAATTTTGCATAAGTACCTACCTCTCGGTTAGGTTTTTTACAAATTACTTATATTCCCGTTAGCCCCTCGTACTAAGCTAAATATGCTTGTATGAGCTCACCACAATAGTCGAGCGGCGGNTTTGCACACATTTCCCAACAGAAATAAAACGTATTTATTAATAAAAAGTCATTATTTTGAAGAGCACTCGTACGGCCCGTGTGCGGTGTGAGTGATCCTAAATAATCGTCATAACTTTGGAACGGGACGTGCAAGGAATTTCTGAATTTGTTAATAGTTTTCGGTCATTCTCACGATTAGGCGTTCTCAGCCTAATTACCATATCATTTTTGAAATTTGGCTTAATTGACTTAAACGCATTTAAATATGAAACACATGAAAAGTACGAATTTAACAATCGTTAAGGCGTCAAATTATTCCAAGCGGTTTTCGCGTAAATGAGACCCAAAAATTTTATGGTCACGGTAATTAGATAAGGCTATTACTTAATCTAACGGTAATTAGAAAATATATATAAAATAGCAAGAAAACAATATCTTGCATTGATAAATTTGTATATAAATATATAGCGTCATAAAAAACGCTGTAGGTACACTTTAATAACCCTTTGAAAAAAGAAAAACACTCATTTCTATTATTTATTGTATCAAGATATTTTCAGTATACTGCAATAATCGAGGCTATAACAGGAACACTTACTTTCGGCCAGAAGGGGCTACGTGTCACATTTTTTCATCAGAATCTTAATCATCATTTATTTGATTTCAATGTGGTACAAACGATTTACGTACAGATAATGGATCAGGAGATCTCACAAATTTGATTTTTCGGATATGCTTATATCGAAAAATTAATTAATGATTTAAGTGATTTTTCCTCTTTTTAATCTATCTGCGATCAGCCTTCACCCAATATCAGATTAAATTGAATTTGTAATAATGACAGTTCCAGCTCAGCATATCCCTAAATAGAAAAATTGAAAACCAAAGGTATGGTAATTATACTCTTACGCAATTCATCGATGGTACGCCAACGCAATAGACGTCTACTTGCTAACAGGTCTTAGAACTGACTAAGGGCTCGCGCCGCGCGCGTAAATGATGTGTCAAATATTATTATTTAGGCTTGTGTGCCCAAAAACAGAAAACGTCACGGGAATTAGGACTTTCGCTCGGACAAGCAGTTTTTTAATTCTAACTATTTACAGAATGGTTCTATTGAATAGATATTTTGCTATGCGTAAGACAATCTTTTGTACTCTTTAAAATGTTGAATGGAGTAAACCAAATCTATACGACATAAAAATTACAGCCCAGTTTTAACATTAAGTCGGT